TTAATCAACTATTAAAATAACATATCTATAACCTCCTTTAACTCTCTTTTAAACAAATATACAGTTATTAAAAACAATAATAATAACATCACTTTAATAATTAAAAATAGTACTAAGTAAACTATTCTAACCTTTATACAACAATAATACTCTAAAATTCACTCAAAAACCAAATGATATTTTTTGGTCCCATATTTACACTCAATATAATCTATCCATCTTCTCCAAACCAAAATATATCTTTCTTGTGAATAATCCTTCCATACGCGGAAATCTTGGCCATTTCAGCTAAGTTCGAGACTTTAAGTGACCATTCTTCTATAGTGGGTAAACGTTCCGTTTTCCAATATTGAGCTACTAGTAGTCTTGCAGCAGTTATAAAGTTCAACATCAATTCCATTTCTTTTGCATCCAAGTGTTCCATAATACCCAACAAAAATATCTGCGGCTTAAACTTTATCTTTTTCTTAAAAATATTTTGAATATTCCACCATATCTTAATCCAAAATGCTTTAACTTCCCTACATGTCCACCAAATATGAAAATAAGTTGCATCTAGATTTCCACATCTCCAACACTTAGATTATAAATTGGGATACACACAAGACAATTTTTGAGGATCCAGATGCCACCTATAAAACATTTTATAAAAATTTCCCTTAGGTTTTGAGCTTGAGTAAATTTTACATTTCTAACCCAAATTATCTCCCATGTGTCCAATAAAATTGGTTCTTGTATTTTTGCGCCCATTTTATCATACAATCCTTAACCAATTCTGTTTCTGAATCCAACTCAATCAGTACATTATAAATTCTTTTAAGATGAGCTTGAGATTGATATTTAATCTGTTTCATCAAATTTGCATCCTGTAAAGTAATACCAACTCTTTGATCCATACGCCACCTCATTATCAATTGATTATAATAAAACCAAGAATATTCAATATTTTGTTTCAAATCTACTAAAGATTTAAGTTGCCAGTCTTGTCCTACCGGACGAAGTAATTCCTTGTAAACGAATTTAAATCTTGAAAGAATTTTCTCTCAAGTTTTATCGGAATCGTTTGAAATAGAAATAAAATCTTCGGCAACACATTCAGTTTTACTGTGGCAATTCTTCCTAATATTGACAGCTGGAGATTTTTCCATCTTTCCAAGTCTAGCTTTATTTGCTTCAATAATTTTATATAATTGTCTTCTTTTATTGACGAACACTTAGCTGAAAGATGAATATCTAAATATTTAACTTTTTTCACTATTTGTACCTCTGTTTTCTCTAGTAATTGCCTTTTTGTTTATCTGTGAGGTTCTTTACTATTACTTTAGTTTTTTCTTTATTTATTTTTAGTCCTGCCATTTCTCCATATTCTTCTATCTTTCCCCATAATTTAGGAATCATCTCTAAAGGTTCTTCGAAGATAAACACTAGATCATCAGCAAATGCTTGTAACTTATATGTTTCATCTTTTATTTTCAATCCTTTAATTTCTGTATCCTGTCTTATCCTTCTATTTAGAACTTCCAAAGTAAAGATAAATAATAAGGGAGATAATGGACATCCTTGTCTCATGCCTTTTCTTATCTCAAAGCTCTCAGTATAATCTCCATTCACTATCACTTTTGCTGTCTGGTTACTATATATTGTTTTAATCATATTTGTAAAGTTCTTTCCAAAATCCATTATTTGTAATTGTTGAACCATAAATTGCCAGGAAACATTATCAAATGCTTTTTCGGCATCTAAAAACACTAATGCTAATTGTTTCCCTGGGTGTAATTCATAATATTCTAATACGTCCATTATCACCCTTAGATTATTTTTAATTTGTCTCTTCGGTAAAAAGCCGTTTTGATCTGGATGTATAAACTCAACTAAGTATCTTTTCAGTCTCTCTGCCATTACTGAAGTAAAAATTTTGTAATCCACATTGAGTAATGAAATCGGTCTATAGTTCTTAATATACATCAAGTCTGAACCTTCTTTTGGTATCAAAGTAATATTTGCTTCTATCCATGTATTTGGAAGTTTGGCCTCTAGCAATAATCCATTACAAACATCTTTCAGCGGTTCGCTTAATATATCTTGTAGATTTTTATAAAGTTCCGCCGGTAGCCCGTCAGGGCCTGCTGTTTTCCCGTTCTTTTGTCGTTTTATAGCCTCTAATATCTCCATCATTGTTATTCTTTCTTCTAACATAGTTTTGAATGTCTCTGGAATCTTTGGCAATTTACTTTCTTCTAAATATTGAGCAATTCTCTCTTTTGCAGCCTCCACTTTGCCATACAATTCCTTATAATATTTCTTGATTATCTTTTTTATTTCTTCCTTTTTAAATTGTAAACAACCTTTCCCATCTACTAAGTTATGTATTATTTTCTTCTCTTTCTGTTTTTTGAGCTTATAAGCTAGCCATCTTCCTGGCTTGTTGGCATTTTTGAAGAAATTTTGTTTTGCTCT